TACCATCTTAAATACAGCCTGCTCAGACTGTATAATGTTACTTGTATGTATGTGTTCAGGGCTGACCATTTGATATTACATGACCAATTGTTGTGCTTTCCCTCAAGAAGACCTTTGCTGTCACTCCCAGAATTCTCTAGTTGCCTGTAGTTCTTTGCGTGGGGTTGAGGCCTTGCTTTCTTTTGAATTCTTTCTGTGTTTTATTAATTGTTTGAGAATTTCATGCATGTATGTAATGTCACTTCATAATATTTACTCCATACTCTCTCCCCTTCAACTCCTTTCAAACCATCTCACCACATTTCCAACTTCACATACACTTTTTTTTTTAACCTCACTAAGTCCATTGTGTGCTGGCAAAATGTGTGTGGATATAAGACTATCCACTGGAGCATGGACAACCCATTAGGAGCCATATCTATGAAGACAACCAATTTTCCCTCCCATTGCAGCCATTAGTGTTTTTTGAACATGTCAACACCATTGCACACACGGATTCACAGAATCATACACAAAACCTATAAAAGATCAAGCCAGCCAAAATAAGAGTATGTATAGTAGAGGGGCTCGAGAAGTCTCATCTCTAATAGAGGAGTAATTGACAACTAATATGAATATATATTGTGAGGTAGGCTCTCACTCCAGGCTAGTCTGGAATTCACTGTAGTTGACAATGACTTTGAATTCACAGAGCTCCATTTACTTCTGCCTCTTGGGTATAGTAACCATAGCCATGTTTTGCTTTGATTTTTTTTGTTTTGATTTTTTAAGTGTTATTTGTTATTATTTTGTGCTTATGGTTATAGTGACTGCATGAATATCAGTATATCACATGTAGGCAATGTCCACAGAAGCCGAAAGATGGCATTGTATCTCCTGGGACTGGAGGTACTTATGGTTATGAGGTGCCATGTGGGTATTTGGGGTCAATCCTGGGTCCCCAGGAAGAACAGCCAATGCTTTTAATCCCTCCCCAGCCACTTGGCCACTGATGCTTAACCACAGACTTTGAAGTATTTTCCTTCTTTCTCAAATTCCCTTTTTTGTTTGTTTGTCCTTTACGTTTTGCAGCTGGAAAGTGAAATCACCTTTGACAAATTCAACAAGTGGATCAGCAAAGACACAATGGCTGAAGATGATGTTGAGGTCTACCTTCCCCAGTTCAAACTGGAACAAAATTATGAACTCAAGTCCATTCTGAGAGGCATGGGCATGGAGGATGCCTTTGATAAGAGCAAGGCCAACTTCTCAGGAATGTCCCTGACGAATGACCTTTTCCTTTCTGAGGTGTTCCATCAAGCCATGGTGGATGTCAATGAGGAAGGCACTGTTGCTGCTGGTGGCACAGGAGCAGTTGTGACAGGGAGAACTGGCCACGGGGGCCCACAGTTTGTGGCAGATCATCCTTTTCTTTTCTTCATCATTAACAAAATTACCAATGCAATACTATTTTGTGGTAGACTCTCCTCACCCTAAAAAGGGAAGACCTGATGTATACATTATATTTTATAGCACAAGCTATAAGCCTCAGAATTCCTTCTGCAAGAGCCAAAAGTTTGGAGACTTTCTCATACATTTCTGTGCTTCTGCTATACACTAAATATAAACTCAAAAATAACTGCACAGCTTTCGACAATGCTTATAGAAGACTATTTTTTCTAAAACCAGATGATGTCGATTTAGTTCATACTCATTATTGCCTTGTCTTTATTGTTTTAGTTTTTACAGTGTTATTTATTATTTATATAATGGCAGTTTTGCACATTGTTGTCATCTGTGTAATGAAATTGTAATCCCAAAGAAGCAGGTGATAAGATAATTTTCTATCTAATGAAAAGCAAGTGCTTGATCTAATAATAAGGGAAAATATGAGTTCTTATATGCTCTCCTATAATAATCACCCAAACAGAAGCACTTAATAAAAGTCAACGATATGTTATGTTTCTATCGTTGTATGTCATAAGTGTGTATCTGCAACTCATCTGTAATTAGGATGTAATAAGTAAGCATGCTTACTTACCCTTAGGTATTTGTTGTTCTCTCTTAGGCATGTTGAGCGTAATAATCAGTCCTTGTTTGTTAGTCTTCTTTCCATTACTGTAACAAAATGCCTGAGATAATAAAGTTGAAAGAAACTTTAAGAAGTTTCAGTCCCAGGTTGGTGGATGACTGATTTTGTGTCTGTGGTAAAACAACAGAATGTGGTGAATTGTGTGTACAATAGTGCTGTTCACTTCAAGGATGTCCTCCCAAGGAGAAAAAGAGACTAGTGTCCCTGAGGGCCTTAGAGAACATAGGATTAGAGATCTTGACTTTATATCAGGATCTATCGCTTAAATGTTTCAACTACTTTCTAATAGCATCAGTCAATGAACCATCCCTTTAATGCATGAGACTTTAGAAAACATTCCGTATCCAAACACGTGTATTACTTGTGGAAACATAGAATAATAGATAGTAAAAAGGAGCAAAGAGCACAACTACTTGTCTTGCTCAAAGAGCCAATACTGAGCGTAAGTGTGATGGACAGCTGGATTTTCCTTTGGCAGAAGGTAGAGTTATCCGTGAAGAGGAACCTGATTTGAGAAAATGCTTCCATCAGGTTGCCTATAGGCAAGTCTGTAGGGTGTTTCCTTGATTAGTGATTGATGTGGAAGGGTCCAAACCGTTGTGGATGGTGCTCTCCCTGAGCAGGGGACCTGGCTTCTCTAAGAAAGTACACCAATCAAACCAGAAAGAAACTTCAGGTTCCTGCCTTGCTGGAGTTACCACCCTGGACTGTGATATTGAATTGTAAGCTCAAATAAACCCTTTCTTCTCCAAGTTGCTTTTGTTCATGGTGTTTTATCACAGCAATAGAAACCTTAACTAAGATAGATGGTGTCTTAGTCACTGCTCTATTGCTGTGAAGAGACACCATGACCAAGGAAATTTTATAAAGGAAAAGGTTTAATTGCCGCCAGCCTACAGTTTCAGAGACGTAGTCCATTATTGTCATGGAGGGAGCATGGTTGCACAAAGGCAGGCTTGGTGCTTGAGTGGTAGATGGGAGTTTTACATTCTAATCCACAGGCAGAGAGGGAGAGAGACACTGGGTTTCAAAGCCCACTCCCAGTCCCACTCCTGTAAGGAGTAAGGTTTTTCCTCCTGCTGCTGGTCTTGTCCCGCCGCCATGCCAGCCCCAATTAACATGCCGAGACTCTGTATTTGATATGAATGCTGTTGGCCAGGTACTAGTTTCTTATCAGTTAGCTCTGTCTTAAGGATTAATCCATTTATGTTAAATATAAGTAATTCCATGTGCTCTAATCTTACCGGGGAATGGGGCAGGTGTCTCGCCTCCCCAGTCTCTCCATCTTGACTCCTCCTTCCTACTTCCTCGAATCATCCTTGTCTCCTAGTTCTGCCTATCTTGCTTTCCTATTGTCCAACAGTGCTTTATTCATTAACCAGTATGAGAAACATATTTACAGAATGACGTCTCCCATCACACTCCCCTTCCAACAAAGCCACACCTCCTCCAACACGACCATACCTCCTAATCCTACCTCAGAGCTCATCACCTGGGGACTAAGCATGCACATATATTGGTAGAAGAGCCTATGGGGCCAGTCTCATCTAAGACACTACAGACTGGTTATAGAAACGTGGATCAGCACCCCTAACCCTTTCAGAACAATTTTTGTCAGAGTCCTCTGAAGGAAATTTTGAAGACAATTAATGTAATAATGAACACTCACTCTTCCTCTGTCTTTCAATTACCTGTTATTTAACACATGCTCAGAAAATGTTGTACCACTGAGCTTTAACCCAGTCTATGGATTTTGAGATGGACTTACTAAATTGTCTAAGCTGGACTTGAACGTGTAATCCTTCTGCTTTGGCCACCTGGATAGCTAGCATTATAGGCCTGTGCCACCAGGTTCCACCACTAGTTTGTTTTTGGTTGGTTTGTTTTTGCCCTAATAGGAAACAAATAACACACAAGCATGATTCTATTAATAGAGAAAGATAATTTTTAAATAGGGATTTTAATTAAGTAGAAAAGACATAGAGACGAGAATGATGTCTCTGTCTAGTGACTCTTACAAGGATGAAACAATTGGGTTCATCCAGCAGCATCTGGATATAAATGTGTTTAATGTAATGTAAGCATTACATTATGCTTAATGTAATGTTTAATGTAAGCAGCATGAAGAACTAGAACAAGTCTTCCATTTGAGCAGTGATGTAGCCAAGTTACCCCGCTGAAGGGCTATCAGTCAAAGCCGGTGATCTGTCTGCCAGAGCCACTGCATGATGCATTGGGTTAAGAATAGAGCCAGATATAGAAAATAATATCTGCTGTTTACAGGCCCAGTAGGCATCACTGAATTTCCTACCACAAATACTATTTATAATCCAGAGCAACTCTCCACAGTAGGCTCTGTCCTGGTCTTCAGTTTACTAGAAGAGTCGTATACACATATCACAAGTGGAAACAGCACTCAGTACCTGGCAAGGTCCCTCAGTTCCTCTGGGCTATTTTGGATATTCTCATACTTCTCTTCACTCCTGTCATCCTTCCTCCACACTTCTGAAAATGATACTGGCATTCTACTGCATTTTCCTGTGTTATTAAAAATGAGTGACTATGTGAAGGCTACTGAGGAAAAAAAAAGCAGAAAATGAGCAATGCCCCACATAACAATGGTACCCAACACTTTCATGGAAGCCTTGTTCCTATTGGTAGAGGAACTGACTCTGATCCAAGTTTCACTCTGAGTTCTGTTCTAGCCTTCCAAGCAAGATTGGAACCAGGCCTGTGTGCTTCTCACAGAATACTTGGAGAGAAACCTTAAGACACCAGCACCAATGATATAGTAATCATGTTTTTCTGTTTTGTGGTCCATTATTCTACTTGAAACAATTCATTTTTAAAAGGAGACATATGAAAGAGACCATGCTGTTTGCTGTCAGTTGGCAACCTATAGAAGGGATTTAGCTTGGAAGGCATGAGTTACACTTTGTCAGAATTCATGTCTCTACATGCAGTCTCATGTGGAAAATGTAGCTATTAATGATTCAGGAAAGAAGTCTGCCGTCTGCTACTCAGACCTTTTTGAACTTTTGGCCAAGATAAGCCTGAAAGGAAGAGTGTGCTGTCTTGTGAAAGGGGACCAAGGGTGGGGCTCAGTTGAAGGAGGGGCTTTTTTTTTTTTTAAATTTTTTTTTTTAAAGTTTCTTCAGTTAAAAGTTACCTCATTCTTGAGCCACAGCCTCGCAGTAAAGGAACAATTTGCCAAGTCTGCTCCAGGAGAAGGAGACAAGGTATTGTAAATATTTCTTTGGTTAAGAATGTTTACATTTTCCTTATTGTGGTGCCTAGCAAATTACCAAGACCTCTACTGGAAACTCAGACTCATAGATGAGGTTCCATTTCCTTAGCACTTTTCTGTACAAGCAGATAAGTAGCCTTGAACTGGTTTGAAGTGTGGTTGACTAAGAGGAAGACAAATTACTTTCAAGGGGGCTTCAGCTATTCCAATGGAATTGGGAGAAACATGAGTGGATTCCTTTGCTCTAGCCGTGTCTGGATTTGCCAGCTACTGAGTTGTTGCTGCCAACTTAACAAAGGGAAACAGAGTGTTCTTAGAATAATTGAATCCCCATCTTTCTAGGCCCTCTGATGGGGTGGCTGGGCAGTGCTAACTTTGATATATGGCTTTGGTCATGCTATCTACACAACCCATTCTCCCATGCATCAGCATTCAGTGAGCCTTTAGCTTCTTTCACTGCTGTGGAAGGTCTGAAAGCTTGAGCACAGCTTACTCTTCAGAATCACTTCAAAGTAACTACTCCCCTAGAGAAAGGCTTTGGGAAATAAAGAAGTCCTGGAAGGTAATTAAAATGTTGTCTTCTGTTATGCATAGTTTCACTAAGATTCAGCATTGTCACCAGTAAGGCAAGAGATCTTGTATTCTTGCATGGCACAAAGAACAAGCACACCCTTGTCAGACCTACTTCTTCCTCATTCCTCTTTTAAACTTCTTTCTTTTTTTCACGGTTGGTCCAACATTACTCAATCTTGCTGTGACCCTCAAAATCCTGCAGAGCATCAGCTGCGCTGACCTCAAGATTCATATTCATAGCAAAGAGGATGGGGTTGCACTTTTCACTGTTCCCTTAGCTGTGCATCATCAGTCAGTTCATCTAACTCCTCTGGTCCTGAATTTCTTAGGAGATTAAAAGGGAGAGTTGGACTAGGATGGTTCGAAGATTCTGTCCAAGCTCTTGTGCTAGAAGCATGTTTGTTTATAATGGTGTTTCGCTGGAGTGTATGATCTTTTTCTTACTTTCTTAATGTTCTCTTCCATGTGTATAGTGAATATGGTACAGACACACACACATACATACACACACACACACACACACATATATATATATATATATATATATATTCAGTTTTGTAACTTCTGAAAATTTCAAAAAAAAACCCAATTCATTTTGTAGATGATACAGTAGGGAGATGGGCAGATAGTTCAATCAATAAAATACTTGCCTCACAGGCATGAGGACCTGAGGTTGATCCCCAGAACTCCTGCCAGGCATGGTAATTCCCATTTCTAATGCCAGTGCTAGGGTGTTGGTGGCAGGTAGATCCTTGAGGCTTGCTGGTCTGCCAGTCTACCTTACTTAGTAAATCTCAAGCTAGTAATAACCCTGTCTGTAAAAAAAAATGGGCCTCTCCTGAGAAACAACATGAAGCTTGTCCTATGGCTCTACATTTATTTGTACCCACAAATGCATTTGTACACACACACACACACACACACACACACACACACACACACACACATAGAGGGAGGAAGGGAGATAGTGAGGGAGACAGACAGAGAGACAGATGGACAGACTCAGAGAGAAAGAGACTAGGCTTCTGATTGTTCAATATTTATATATAAATTACTTCCAATAAAAACTCTTCATAAATTCTGTACCTTTCAGGAATTATATTGCTGACAGTTGGGTTAGGTAACCAGCTTAATGCTTCCTTACAGTTGAGTTGTCAGGGTTTTCTCACTGGTCTGTTCTGTTACACTTAATATGTTACTAGTGATGTTAGGAAGAGTGAAGATAAGTGAATATTAACTTTCCACACAGGGAGATCTCTTTGTTAGAGAAAAGTATGATTTTCAGAAAGTTATTGTACATGAATAAGTGTTGTTTTTACTCTGGGTCTTTGGGAACCCGTCACCCAGCTCCTGAATAAATCACACAGAGGTATGTTATTACTTAGAAATGCCTGGCCTTAGTATGCCTTGTTTCTATCCAGCTTTTCTTAACTTAAATTATCCTGTCTACCTTTTGCCTATGGATTTTTATCTTTCCCTTTTGTATATCTTAGTTTCACTCTTTCTCTGTGGCTGGCTGTACAGCTGAATGACTGACCCTGGAGTCCTTCTCTCCATCTCCTTTTCTAGATCCTGGATCCCTTTTCTCCAAGATGACTCCTCCTATAAATTCCTTCTCCTTTCCAGCCCCACCTAGTTTGCTCTCCTGGCCAGCTATTGGCTGTTTAGCTCTTTATTAGACCAATCTGGTGTTTTAGAAAGGCAAAGTAACATAGTTTCTCGGAGTTAAACAAATGCAACATAAGAGAATGAAACATAGCTTTGTATCATTAAAACATTTGCATTATTCCACAGCATAAACAAAGGTAAAACATCTTAACATAATATTCCACAACAAATAAGTACTATATTATGCATAATCTTTATATTAAGATATGAAGTTTTCAGGTCCTGAGATGTTGCTTGCTCTCTGACCTTGCTGGTTAATGTGATTTGCAACAGAATGAAACATTTTTCTTGTGAATATACTTCATAAGTTTTAAAAATATAAATTGTATAATCAAAATGTAACCTGAATGAATATGATCTTTAAGGAAGTAGTTATTTCTAAGATGATTGTTTGGTGGGTAAGGGATACTGGCAACTTTCCAAGGATTTGTGAGAGTTTAGAGTAACCACACACAGGAAAGAGTTTCATTTCTTCAAAGAGTATTTGTCTAGGCCCATCAGGAGATTCCACAGTGGGTAGAAACCACACCTTGGGTGTGACCCTGAGTCTAGGAAGCTGTTTGATCAAGTGTGACTTTATGTGTGGGAGGAATTTCTAAAGAATCACTGTAGAAAAAAAAAGTCATATAAAATCATGACGTAACCAAAATCTACACACAGTTGTCTTTGATTCCAGTTTCTGACCACAGGTAGAGAGAGAGAATGCCTGACTTCCCCAAAGCCTTTGTTGGAAATTTCTCAGTACAAATGTGATGTCAGGACAGGACAAGTACCTACAGAGGTCTCAGGCTTGGGCATTTGGTATCAGTCGTTTGATCAATTTTAAAATTATTTGATCATAGAACAATGGTAGGTTAAATATATATATATATACATATATATACATATACATACATGCATATATATATATTTGATAGATAGATATTCAGTTTTAAAAAGCATTTTACATAAAAATGCTAGGGCAATTAGGGGTGAAATTTAGAAGATGAATGTAATATATGTTACTCAATATAATAATACAAAACTTGGGAAACTTTGGGTTCTCTTCTTAAAAAAAGGGAATAAGAAAAAAGTGAAAGTATTCTCAATTTTTGTATGAGGATTTCCAATGTAATTGTGAATAATATCAAATTACACTGCCTAGTGTATCTCGAACAGTAAAAATGGTGTGTAAGTAATAGAAAAGTACATACAAATAACTATTTGGGGCAAAGTGCTGAACTATGTGTTTATGGGTATACAGGACTAGACAGAGGCATAAAAGTAATAAAAGTCTAAGAAATGGGAAAACTGTGTCACGGTACTCAGCTGTCAACTGGTCATTATCCAACTGTTCTCTGGGGCACATAAGCCCAACCCTTAAAAACATGGTCTTATATTCCATGTTTTTAAGTGTTAGAATATATAAGAGAAAAACAGTGGATGGAACGAATTTTGTTAAAATCAACTCAGTTCTTGGGGATAGTTGTACATATAACTTTCTCTATTTAGACAGATGCTTTTACAAGAAATAATTAAATGGAAACTATTTAACATTTGTGTATTTTCTGTCTTATGCCTTTTATAGATACCCAATGGCTTCTCTAGCAGTGTCCATCAACCAGTTTGCCCTGGAGTTTAGCAAAAAGCTAGCTGAATCTGCTGAGGGTAAAAATATGTTCTTCTCTCCTTGGGGCATCTCGACTTCCTTGGCTATGGTGTATTTGGGTACCAAAGGTAACACTGCAGCCCAGATGTCCCAGGTGAGTGGAAAAAAGACAACCATACTCCACTGTCTGAATGCTGGTTTTTTTTTTTTTTTTTTTTTTTTTTGGTTTTTCAAAACCTATCCTGGAGTTAGCTCTGTTACCAGACTCACAGAGATCCCCTTGCCTCTGCCTCCCAAGTACTGGGATTAAAGACGTGCACCACTACCGCCTGGCTTGATAGCAATTCTTACAAAGACATTTAAGTAAATGTTACTGCTAAATCTTCATATACGTTGAATGAAGTGAAGTTTGTCAATGAAACTGCTTAGTTTTCAGATTCTAGCCTTGGGATTTACTGAATCATTGGTGTTGCATGCCTGGCTTGTTTTGTTTTTTAAATTTCAATTGGGCCCAAATTTTACAAGAACATCTCTCAAAACACTTAGAAAATTATGTCAAGTGAAATAAATCCATTTGAATTTGTTGTTTTGTGCCAGAACTTTAATCCAAACAGGTATAGCTCGCTCTGTTAGTTCAAGGTAAACCTGGTCTAAATAGCAAGTTCCAGGCTAGTCAGAGATATGGTTACATTACAACAAGCAACCTGATCTTTGGAAATTATTTTAAGAACTTTCATTCTCCAGAAAAATAGATGAATGATGAAGTCATACATTTTAGTTTAACTAAACACAGTTTAACCAAAAACAGGCGTGATGACAAGCCTCTTTTTAAAATTAATATTCAAACTTTAAGTAATAGAACTATTTAGTATCCATCTTATAGGGAATATTAAAGAAGTCTAGCTCTGTGTAGTGGCTTACTCCTTTAACCTCTGCACTTGAGAGGTTGAGGCAGGAGGGTAGCTATGAGTTCTTGACCAGTCTGCAGAATATAGTGAATTATATGCCTGCCAGCCCAGAACTATAAAGTAAGACCCTAGCTTAAGCAAAACAACAATAAACAAATTCTGTTTTCATGCTTTGTTTGGTCATATCTTTGTCTAAACCCCAATTGCTTGTCTAAATCTAAAGAGCTAAGAGATAGTATTTAAATATGAAAATAATATCATATAAAATAAAATATATATAATCATATAATAAATATAGTAAAATATATGGCAAAAGCCACATGTATGATATGTTTAATCAGGTATGTGAATAACAACTAAATAATGTTTGTTAATTGGTTAATATGGCTTACCTATAGATTTGGTTTTAGGTAGATTTCATTTTGAGTCCATTTCTCATGAATTTATTTCTTGGCAATGCTTGTCCACGATATAACTATTAACTTTGGTTGCAGTGAGTCTAACACACTTTCTATATACCTAATTATCCTAGGGATGGAGGTCGCTAATCCCATCCATCATTTTCTGGTATACTGTCACACACTTGAGGGGAAATAAAATAACAGTATCCTCCCTGGTAGCTTCCAAATGAAATGCTGGGGTGAACATGAAGGTTCTGTCTGTATATATTGAGTTGTGTTAATGAGAAATACAGCAATTAACTAGAAAAAGAACTAAAATCATCACCAAATCTTCCCAATGATTGAAGCTCTGTTAGTTTTGAGTAAGTTATCTAAATGATGGTGCCAACTGAACCCTGAGCCTTTTCATTTTCGTTTTTCCTGTTTAATTTGTACACCTGTTATATGGGAGGACATGTGAATACAGTATATAATGATCATGTTTTCCTCTTCTCAAATAGTTGCATTTCTGTTTTAGGCACTCTGAAGTCCTGTCTTCTGATTCATTTTTACAATATAGAATAGATCATTGTGAACTGTCTTCATCTTGTGGGGCAGAATACTCAACCTTATTGCTGCTGTCTAGCTGTATTTTGATACCCAGACAACCTCTCTCCATCTTTCTCCCTCTCAGTTGAGCATATGGAGACAAAACAAACTCAAACCTACTTTATTGTAAGATACTTTTTATAGCATACACCACTTTTGGCAGGAGATGTTAGAGGACTTCTACACAGTGTGTACTCAGATTCATTAAATTCTGGTACATTGTACCCACAAATATTAGATCCCACAACTGGAGGCTTGATCCTCAAGGTTTCTTGTCTATTGCAGACACAGTCAGAGCTCTGTGCTGTTTTACCTATGCTTCTGACCTTACAGCCAGTTATAAACCCAAGTTCCCATAATACCTTCATTGAGCTCAGTTAATTTGCTATTGTCGATCACAGAACTCAGGAAAATGCTCATTTATTTATTTGATTGTTTATTTATTTATTGCTCATTATGAAGAGTTCTACAAAGGCTGCAGATGAAGAAATGACGAGGGTGATGTATAAAGCATAGAGGCTGACAGTTTCCATGACTTTTTCCAGGGTGCAAACCTCTATGGATCTGAACCCTGTCTTCTGGTGTTTGGGGGAAACTTGATTGCATTTTTGAATGGTGACAGTCATGTAGAAAGATAGTGGTCATGAGTGTATTCTGATGCTAACAGACTGACTCTCAGGAAACACAGCAAGTCTGTCTATTCCATTCTCTAGGCATGGAGCAAGTGGTTTTTTTGTTTGCTTGTTTTGTTTTCCTAAAATCTTCTATTAGACAAGAAATGTCAGAGGATGTCTTGATGGCATTGTTAAAGACAGAAAGATGGACAAAGTTTACATTTGAGTTTCTATGATCCATCCTAAGGAACAGTAACTAGTATCTAAGGCTTGGGTTTCAAAAGGGAGCATGCGAAATAAGGCCAAGAGAAAGGTAATGCATGGGGCATAAGCATTGTTCTATTCTGTCCTAATGGGATTCTAGTCACTTGGGAAATAATAAAGGTTATGGGAATTAGTTTCCAGAAACCTAATTATATGAACTAGAGAAAAAAAATTATACAGCACATATCATACCATTTCTAAATTTCTATGAAATAAACTTTATAAGTTTCCATATGTGGGATCTTTGTTGCCACAAACCCCAGGATTTCCTTCCTTTATGCATGAATAATATTTCACTATGTAAAATAATCTCTCTACAGTCAGGTGTTAGTTTTAGTGGATTTTGTACTCTGACACTTATCTCTCTTTGTAAAACAAGAGAATTTGACGTCAGGATATTGCCAGCATTGTGACAAATACCCTGAAGTATATGACAATAAAGACATGAGCAACCTTTTTGTTTGCTTATGATCTTGTTTTATGAGACAGGATTTCTCTGTGTAGCCTTGGCTGTCCTGGAACTTACTTAGTAGACCAGCCTGGCCCCAAACTCTCAGAAACCTCCTACCTTTGCTTTCTGAGTGCTAGGATTAAAGGTGTGCACCACCTCACCCTGTCACAAGAAACATAAAATGGATTTTTAAAAAATATGTCACCTGAAGAGCTTTGAGTCACTCTATTGACACTAGATGAGCTCCATTAGAACCTCTTCACTCAGTGTTTTGTGGTCAGCAGAACTACCAACTCAGATTTACAAGTGTTATTTCATATGGGCACTTCTCTGCAAAGCGTATTCACTTTTATTTATTTATTTATTTTTAAATGACAGGTACTTCAATTAGACAGAGGCCTGCACTTCAAATCTGGCATTGATAGTGAAAAGAAGAGAAAAATGGTATTTATATATTTGCTATCCATTTGACATTCGTGGAGAGGTGACTCCTAATATATGCCTTTTGCGGTCAGTTTGACCAATTCCTCTCTTAGATTAAATACACTGGGATGTTTTTCAGAGTTCAGTCTTTGTGCAAGTTCTGCTTGCTTCTTGTGGTGTCACCCTTTGCATCCCTTTCAAGTTCGTGTCTTACTTTTGAAGTTGTTCTTGTCTGTCTTTGCAACTAAACTGTGAAGGGAAGGTGTCTTCGTTAAAGTTATATATTAGTAACATCAAAGAAAACATGTTTATCTTTTTTTAAATAAATGGCTTTCACTTTGTGTTTACAATATGCCAATTAATTTCATTTAACTATAGATTAGCCATATATTATTTGACGTTTGTTCAATCTTCTTTTTTTTCCTAACCCCGCTCCCTTTTTTATTCAAAGGAATTTAACTCAGGCAAGGTTGAAGAAATACATTCTGATTTCCAGTCCCTTGCTTCAGAAATCCTCAAGCCTGGAAATTCCTACTTACTCAAAACAGCCAATAGGATATATGGAGAGAAAACATATCCGTTTCATAATGTGAGTGTAAAAGTCTTTTGTTGATTAATGGAAAAAGAAGAGGCAAGCAAGAACCAGCAATCAGACACGCATTTCTCTAGGGGCCCCAGAGGAAAAGAGGATAGTATTTCCTGGTAATCAATCATTTGTAAAATGATCATGAATGCCAAGTTCTAAAGGAAAGCAGTTTTGGGTCTGACACAGAAATGGCTCATGAACACATAGACATGGGCTCCTTGAGCTAACATTTATTCCACAAGAAAACAGAATGGGGACATTATATGACATAAAATCATATAAAAGTAGGGTAGAACCCCATGAGCCAACAATGGTGTCCATCACGGTACTGTGGCTAGAAGCTGTCCTTGGAGACAAAGGAGACCTTGAGATGAGAGTAGAAAGAAACTCCCACAACAGGATTGTAGAGATTTAGTGAATATGAACCACAAGATGATGTCAAGTTCCCTCTTTTGCTCTTTTGCTGATGGTTAAAGTCGCACCAATGATAACCTTGGTGACCCTGACCCATTAAGACCCAAGTGCTTCTCAGAGTACAGTGAGTCTTTTTTTTTTTTTTTTTATTTTTTTTATTTTTAAGTTTGTGGATCACACCATTCACAAAGATCAAAAAGAGTAGTAAATCGAGCATATAAGGGGCAGAGAGAAAGGGTTAGATAGTACATATGAGTAGCAGGTATCCTGTGGTTTCAAGCATGTAGTAGCTGCCCACTTTAATGAGTTCTTTTGGATTTAGGGCCTTAGGCTTTGTTAATACTGAATCCACAAAAGCATCTAGGTAGAGCCTTAAAGACAGGTTCATGACTGGCAGGCTTCTGGAATCCTACTTGACTCATTACCAAGAAGGAGTACCGGGCTCAAAATAAAAAGGATACGGGCATCTGCACATCTTTTTATGGGAATACAGGTGAATTAACAGGGTGTAGTGTCTCATACTTATAAATCCCAATGCAGACCTCACAACTGTTAACCCATGGCTTGGGGACAGGACTCATTTGCCCCTCTTTACTTCTTATAAGTTGTCCAAGAAGTAAGCAAACTGAAGGAAGCAACATGACACCTCCCCAGGGACAAGTTAAGTTCCCAAGTTAAGTCCTCAGTTACTGCCAGCTCTGGTGGGTGCCATGGATTGGGACATCACAACTCCAGAGTCAGCAGCCTTGATCACTCCCTCAAAATGACTAGGGGGGGGCCTTTGGCCTCATTTCCAGGTCACATTGCCTGGCAGAATTTGGTTCTCTTCAGATTTCTCTCAGTTCCTGGGCATTTGGAGACCACAAGCAGTCATCTTGCAGACCCACAGGCCTCGCTGTGTTCCCTCCCTTGTCTCACACAGAAAGCCAAGCCCAGCTCTAAATACCATTTGTCCCCTGGGTAACTCCTGTGATTTATAGTCTTCTCTTTTCATTCTAGTCTCAGTTCCAGGCCTGAATAAAACACACACACACACACACACACACACACACACACACACACACACACACACAAAACATACATGCAAGTAGCATTGTGTACTCTGAGTAGGTTGTGTTTATATATTCAGGAATATGTATATACATATACCTACATGCATGTAATAACAATTAATAAAAAACAGAAGCCATAGATTTCAAAGAGATCAAGGAGTGGTATATGAGAGGAGTTGGAGGGAGGAAAAGAAAGGGGTAAATAGTGCAATTATAATATCAAAATTAAAATAGATAATATCTAAAAATAGTCAAGAAGGGGGTGTCAAACCCAGATCCATGGGTGGGCAGATTTTCTTTCTATCCCTGGAGTCTGTATGGCTAGTTGGTTTAAAGAGGATTGCATTTGCATTTTGGCAGATACCAGGAATGACAAAATAGACATGGGAAGATTGGGTGGAGTGGGAATTGTTGTTCTCAATTGATTTTTGTTTTAAATAATGTGCACAGATTTGATTTCCCAGTTTTAGACAAACTGTACAAAAAGTGAATTTTACCTATATCTTTCAGAAATATTTGAAGGACATGCAAACATATTTTAGTGCAGAACCTCAGTCTGTTAACTTTGTCGGTGCTTCTGGACAAATCAGAACAGACATCAACTCCTGGGTAGAAAGCCAGACAGGAGGTAAGCATTTTCCCAGGGGCCAGCCAAGGCCTTGCTCCAAGCGTCACCTTATTTACGTAAAGTTGTGCCATCCATGCCTATAGATTTCTTTAGTGGCACTTTGGGACACATACTAAATATTCAAAACTTTTATCTTTATTTATACCTGTAAGTTTTAGACTGGTAGCCTTCCTGGTAGGTCCTATCTAAAGTCAAGTCAAACTTCCACTTTTCCCAGTAGAGAGGAAAGGAAATATAGCTTACTGATTCCAAAGAGGAGTCCAGGATAAAAGGAAAGAAATGGGAAATAGGAATGATTGTTGCTTCTGTTATTTCAAATGGTTATTAATTAATATCAAAAGTAGAGCAATGTTTTACTAGTGCATGATCATAGCTATCTCGAAAATTAAGATTATCTGTTTTAGTTTGGGGTACAAAAACAAACAAACAAACAAGCAAACAAACAAACAAAAAAAGCATTCTGCTACAGTTCTGGAGGCCAAGAGTCAAAATCCATCTGTCTCCAAACTTGTCCTCAAGGTGGGGTGGGGGTGACATGTGTGTGCTTCCCTTGGGTTTTGCTGGCTCCAGAGCAGTCCTTGGAGTGAGGATATATCATTCTTGTCTTTGTTGGCACTAGATGTCTTTGAGTTTCTTTTATGTTCCTGTGTGCTCACATTGTTTCTTTTTTAATGTCTGTGTTTACATTTCCTTCTTCCTAGGAGGACATGAGCCACAGGCCTGAGGATTACTTTAACTCCTTAGACATGATATTAACTTGATTAAATCTGTAGCAATTCTCTTTCCAAATCGACACATAATACCAGGTCCTGGGGCTTGGAACATAAAATTTTTGGAGGTGTGGCAAATTAAACATACAAAGATTTCTTCACAAAAATGGATATTCTTAATGTTATCTCAAGGAACAATGAGATACTCTCCAATTAGAATTGGAGAACACTCTTCACAACAAAGGGCAATTCTTTTTCAAAAGTGTTAAAGTTTTCAAAGCAATGGGCTGTTCAGAAGTAAACGTACTGCAAAGACATCACAACCAAGTGCCTTTGAGATGCTGATTTGATTTCTGGCCCAGAGGGGAGGGACAACTGATGATTTTGAATCCAGCTTGTTAAGAGCATTTCTTTGAAGCTAACTTTCTGGTTGAGATCCTTGGCAGACACGGGTTCTATGGTTTAATACTATTTTAGGAAGCACAACCCATCCCATTGAGATTGAGTCAGGAAGATTGTGCCCTTGGGGCCCGTTTAAGCTACCTGTTGAGTTCTTCACACTAGCCTTGGGATGCATAGAAGGGATGCATAAATAACCATCTAAGTAAACCAATATTTATCAACCACAATTTTATAAATGTGATACAGGACTAAGATACAACTATATTGTATTATCTATTGCTAGGAGAAAAATACATTGTCTGTGAAGTAGTGTAGGTCAACATAAATATTCTTTTGTATTTCAGTTTATTTTCTTTGTTAACCATATGATCATATCTTCCTTTTATGTAACTAAAACCACATTTCATTTTCTTGCTTTGATTCATAAATTAGCATTTTGGGGAAAACTTTAAGTGACAATAGTCCTTGAAGGCTGTGGATACTACTGTGCATTTGTTTACTGTGGCTGTAAAATAATGATCATTGGAGAAGTTACAATAATATTTTTCCAGCATTTCTCTCTTTCCTCATAGCTTTTGAGAAAAAGTACACTACTTTATCAGAAATTGTTCTATCTCTGGAATATCTGAAAATGCACTTTTAAAAGAAACTTTGTTTCCAGAAAAAAATGGAAATCAGGTTATCTAATTAAAATATACATAGTTACTTTGAAATCTATCATGCTCTTATAGGTAAAATTCCAAATCTCCTCCCTGTCGACTCAGTGGACTCCATGACTAAGATGGTTTTGGTGAATGCCCTTTATTTTAAAGGAACCTGGGAATATCAGTTCTCAGTGCAGAATACCACTGAAAGGCCTTTCAGAATTAACAAGGTAAGAACTGACTAAAGACACATGACCTTGCAAAACTAGAACCTATGTTAAATCTACTTTATTTCTAATGGGTTCTTCCTGTATCCTGGCTTTTATTGGGGAAGAAAAGGCTGGCCTGGGAGTTTTAAGTCTCATCTACTAAAATGTCCTACTTCATTGTTTTTTTTCTGAATACAGACTTTGTTCAATTTATTATTTTCATGCTGCTAAGCCCGTGGGAGTGGAGAAGGGTAGGTTTTACATTTATTTCTCAGTTGAGAAATACAGGTAGCTAAGGAAGTGTAGGAGTGTCTGAGGTAAACTTTCCAGAACCAAAGATTATCCCAATTTAAGCTCTATTGTTTCTATTAAGCCCATCATAATGCGTATGTGTATCCATGTTGGGTGGGGAAGATACAAAGTTAGAGAGAGAGAGAGATCTGAGAGATTCTGAGGGCTGTCAGTTTGCTATCACCATGACCAAATACAGACAGAAAGAAAGAGGGTAGCAGAGGGTAGCCCATGATTTCAGAGCTCTAGTCCATGTTCACCTGTCCCAGCAGAGCACTAATGCAGGAAGTCAATCATGAAGCAGTTACTCACTTCTTCATGGTGTGGGGGATGGGGAGACAGAAGAGAGGAAGAAAGGGAGGAGAGAGAGAGAGAGACAGACAGAGAAACTAGAATCCCAATATTCCAGCAGTTCAATCTCTTTACTAAGCCCAACTTCTACAGATTGCAGCATCATCCGCTGGCAACCAAGGCTTCCTCACACAGGGCCTTTGGGATACACTTAAGACCCAAACTGCAGCAGGCTGAATCAAAATGTTATCAGGAAGCTTTTTGCTTTTCCTCATATTTTTTCCCCCACTGAATTTCTTCCATTATCAAAATCTTTGGAAGGCCAGGTTCTAAAATCTTTGCTGAGGGTTAAAAAAGAAAGAGAGAGAGAGAGAAAGAGAGAGAGAGAGAGAGAGAGAGAGAGAGAGAGAGAGAGAGGGAGGGAGAGAGAGATGAATAAAGGAAGGAAGAAAGGAAGGAAGGAAAAGAAAAGAAAAAGGAGCCACAAATGAGCAAAGGAACTAAAATCTGAGGGAAAGAATAATCTACATACCACATGATCTTTCTATCCATGCCTCTTTCTTTTTCTTCTCTTCCTCCTCTCCCTTGTCTTCCTCCCCTTCCTCCTCCTTTTACTCTTCCTCTTGTCCTCCTCCTTCTCTCCCCAGTTCTTGGGGAGTTATGGATCTACATACATTTGCAACAATAATTTCTTTGCAATACAGTATGAGATTTGAGTTTCTCAGGGTCAGCAAGTCAGATAATATTTACACACAGAGCAATAAACTAAAACTGGTAGGAGAAACTTTTGGCACTAACTGCTTAGGATTGTAATTCAAGGATAGGGTCTATGTTTAATTTGCACAAGAAACAACCTGGCGCCTTCCAGTGCTCTAGCCTCAGTGGCAGGATAGGCCTTCAGGAAAGTTTACTTTTCCCTGAGGATGAGCAAATGGGATGATTACCTTTGTCGTTATCTTCTCTGGAGAAAGACAAACAGTAAATCTCTGAGCTAGAATTTTGGGTTAATGAGAAGTTTGAGAATCTTTTAGTGTAAGACTAGTTTAAGTTATCACTTCTCTATCTGCCAGTGATGTAAAACCAGGGCATGCTTCTTTATTGTATCTATCTGGGCAGCTATGAATCAATAGCTTTGGGCATGTAGTAATTCTATGTCCTTGGATATCTGGGAATGTCTTAGAATGCTTTTGCCTGGGCCCTAAACACTGACCAAATGCCTGTCAGTGAGGAAAATTGCAAGAAGACAAACCTCTGCAATTACATAGGAGAGGGGAAAAAGGACTTGAGACTGGAAGGCAGGTCTCACATATAGCTGAGGAGTGTAATCAGTAAACGCCAAAATGCATGGGAGAAATTGTTCCCAGAAAATGATCACATAGTGCTAAATGGTACAAAGTAAATCCCGAGTTTATTACAAAGATGAGTAAGCTACAGGAAGAATCCACATCAAGAAGCAACCAATTCATTCACAATATGCCTTGCATTCTAGTTTAATCGTTCAAAAGAATTCTTAATTCTTCTGCACTGTCTTCATGAGATGGTGGCTGAATACTTACTGTGTGATCTTGCTGCTTATAGCATTCCATATTTTTTCTCTTTGGCTGAATTCTAAATTTTTTTCTGTTTCTATTTCACAGTGGCTAAACATAGCAGCTCACAACATTTCTTCTACTCTGGAGAATAGGCTGATAAGCCCCACTTTTAATTCTTAGGCAAAGAGCCTGTAGTACCCCAAAGCTGACATGGAATGTCCTAGTTGTTAGTATCAACAGTGGGATCTGAAGAGGATGCTATTTGGTGCCATTATGCACACCATGGAAGCTGTCACCGTATCAATGGCCTGGCTAGAAGACCTCATCAGCATATGTGAGAGGCCTTATGGATGACCTTTGCTTCACATTCAGTGGATAAATAATATGTCTATAGCACTGGATTGCAGAAAGTTCATTGAGGGTTCATTTGCAGTTGTTTTGTATTAAAAATACTTTACATGGAGCTAGAGACATGGCTCAGCAATGACAAGCTCTTGCTGCTTTTCCAGATGACTGGGTTTGATTCCTAGTACAGGGGAGATTCCTGTCTATAACTCAAGCTCAAGGGGACCAGATGCCCTCTTCTGGTCTCTGTGGGTACTTGTACTCGTTTTAACAGAAATCTTTTATCTAATAATATTTTGCAGAAGTTTTTCTAATCTATTGCTATTTCTTAGGTTTATTTTTTAAATGCATTTCAGTTTTTAGGATACTAAAAATACTTTCCAGGGCTCTCAAATCTTTGCATGTAAGAAGGCCCGTAATTTCTGGGTCATTAGCATTTATATGTTTCATGCATTTCTGCTTTCAAGTGTTTGGCATAAACAGGTTGCCCTGTTATGAGTAGTTTTTCCTGCTGGCCTGGGCCCCAAATAATGCACAGAGAGACGCTGTATTAAATATAATTCTGTTGGCCAGTTACTAGTTTCTTATTGGCTGGCTCTATCTTAATTATTAACCCATTTCTATTAATCTAAGTACTTCCACATGGTCTTATCTTACCAGAGAGAGGGGCTGGCGTTCTGCTCTCTCTGTCTTCCATCTTGGATCTCCTCCCTACTACTTCCTCTCTCCTCCTAGTCTCCTAGTCCACCTATCTTGCTTTCCTATTGGCCATTGCTGCTTTATTCGTTAACCAGTAAGAGAAACATATTTACAGAATGACATCTTCCATCACCCTGTAGATTTTTAGAGACAGGAACTGCCTTTCTTACTATCATTGATATTGTTAGTAGAAATTTCCAGAAGCTACATCAGGAAAACTTCTATGTTTACTGTAAGGTTGCCAGTTTTACTAAAGCCTAGGACAAAGGGACAGATGGTGACAGGCTGAAGAATCGGGTGCAAACCTCTTCTGTGACTCTGTTGTCCACTTCTACAGACCACGAGCAAACCTGTGCAAATGATGTCAATGAAAAGGGAGCTTCAAGTCTTCCACATTGAGGAGCTGCAAACCATAGGCCTTCAACTCCACTATCAGAACCGTGACCTCAGCCTGCTTTTGTTGCTGCCAGAAGACGTGAATGGCCTGGAACAGGTAGATATATCAGTCTGCCTGACATAGATGGATTCTGTGCTTCTATTCTGCCCTAAAGAGAAAAACAGGAGGATGGATTTGGCTTCCCTTTTTTTTTAAAATTCTGCATAGCAAGGCAATCAACTAAAATACCCTGAGCCCCAGCTCAGGGTCTTTGAACATTGCTCATACTTTACAAAATTCTATAAAGTTAGTATTACTATTTTTTAGTAAGGTTGCATAACTATGGACATTTCTAGCACAAGATGAGCATACACATAGCCACATATACACAGATACATTAGCTCTTATCACAAATTGGGATAACACATTGAGTTGCCTTGGATCTTCTCGGGCTAGTAGAAACTATCTAATTCAAGATTAACTTTTATTTAGAATGGCTTACTTTTTATTATATTAAACAAACTGAAATGTTATTAACATTATTCTTCTGTTTTTAAAAGGCATTTCAATTTTAGGAATGAGGTATAACATACAAATAGAATATAATTAACTTAGACAAAATAAAGGTAGATACATCATTTTAAAATTTTACCTAATTTCATCATAGATTGATGACAGTTTCCTCATAATGTGTCATTTGGCTTGTCAGCAGATGAAAGTTAGTAGCCTAGAGTGTTTCAGTTTAGTCTGAATCTTGATATTTTCACTGCTAAGCTGGACTTGGCTTGTAATTGGCTGAGGGACTCTAGATGATTGTGGTGCAGTAGGAAGCAGAGACAGTTGTTGGATGATGTGGGTGGAGTGCAAGAGCACCCTGGATGGCTACTGTTTATGGAAACCTGGTGTTTACCTGCAGAAGAAATGGCATGTGGGAACCTGGAAGCCATACTAAATGCATAAAGCACTTTCATATTTAATAACCCTTGTTGTGCCAGAGGGTAGGCAGGACTATATCTATGCTTGGAGGCCGCTTGCAGACCCACATCAGACTGGTGTACACAGAAACTCTTGGGGAGGATTTTTTAGTGCCTCAGACCAAACCCAAGGCCTCCTGTGTGCTAAGCAGGCTTTCTGTGATATAACTGCATCCCAGACCGTAATGAATCTTCAAAAATGTTTTTACTTTTATTATTTTGTGCATATGGGTGTTTTTGCTTGCATGTATGTCTATGCTCTCTCTCTCTCTCTCTCTCTCTCTGTGTATGTGTGTGTGTGTATGTGTGTGTGTGTGTGTGTGTGTGTGGGTGTGTGTGTGTGTGTGTGTGTGTGTGTGTGCAGTGTCGTCTGTGGAGACCAGAAGAGCACATTCGATGTTCTGGAAATGAAGATATATAGATAGCTGTAAGCCACCATGGAGGTGGTGGATAAGAACTGGAGCACTCTGGAAGAGCAGCTAGTACTCCTCACCATTGTGGCATCTCTCTCGTCCCAAAATTAATCTTTATAATCATGTGTACCTATATACTAGTACATATATTTATATGTCTAGCATGTCCCATATATTTAAAACTTATTTTTATCAAATATACAATCTTCAGGAGAAAAAACCCTCTCCCCTTACCATCTCCATTTAGGCTGTTCACTCTATTAAATCAAACAGATGCCTAAATGGAACAGTAGCCTCTCTTGCAATAGCTAGGCTGTCTTTCTTTGGCCAGAGTCCGATTTTTCATTTGTATCAGGCTCTTAATGTTGGTAGGCTTTCATGGCTCTGCTAGTATAAAGAAAATATTTTGTATGGCTTTTGAAAATGTGTGAAACTGTAGAGGATGGCAATAGTAAGTCCTGTGTAGACTGAGAACCACTCCATTTGTAATGGGCTGATTCTTTGGGATTCAGGGTCTTGAGATGAAGATATTGTCATATTATTAATGGGTACTCTTCACAAATATGTCACTTACAGCCAGTGCTTGGGTCTATGAAACTCCCAAATGAGCAAAAGTATGTGCTTTATAACAAATTTTCAATAAAAGTGAAATCTATACACATATACAATCAGATGTATACACACATTTATACATTGTTCTTACATTACAGAATATATATATATATATATATCCATACATTACTTTTAGAAATTTTAGATTATAAAGAGGAATAACATTTTCCTATGCGCATTATGCAAATGTGCTCATAAGATTTTTGAGTTTTCATTTTTCCTCTTTTCATCCTTTTTTGACATAGCTTATAATATGATTATAAAGAATAGACATTTTACTTTATCTGAAATTTTGCTTTCAGTGAACTCTTTCCCATGTCAAGAAAATGAGTAGTTTGTGTTGGTCAGTTTATTGTTACCATTATTACTCTTAATAGAAAGATCTTATGGGAGAAAAAATTGATTCTGTTCTTGATTTCAGCCCATCCTAGCAAAGAGCTTGTGGCAGAGTAGTTCACATCATGATGGGAAGGAAGTAATATGCAGAAGGGCCAGAGCAAGATAAAGCCACCAGGGACACATGTCCACTGTCCAGCCAGGCACCACCTCAGCCAGTTCTGCCACCTCTCAATAGTCTATTCAGTTTGAATTCATCAAAGGGTTAACTTGCTTATTATGGGGGAGTCTTCATGATCTAATTCTCTGTCTACATGCTCTCATGGATAAAATCAGAGGCCTGCTTAACTAATCTGTTAGTGGCTTTAGATCTAACCAAGTTGGTAGTGAAGATCCATTCATGTCCTAACACACAACAACCAACAACACGACTATATATGCTTTGTGAACAAAAAATGCCAACATTGGTTATATTGGTATGTTTTAGTACAATTAACATCTTCCATACTGTGTTAGAAGTTTAATTCTTCTGTTTCCTGAGAGCTTCTATCTATGAAGTGATGACTCTGTACGTCAACAGCAGAAAATTCTCACCACTGAACCAGTGAATTTCCAAATGTGTTTTGCTGCCCTGAGTAGAGCGGTGATAGTAATCTTCTCTATGGTGCTTCTCTCTCTCTCTCTCTCTCTCTCTCTCTCTCTCTCTCTCTATCTCTCTCTCTATCTCTATCTCTATCTCTCTATCTCTCTCTGTCTCTGTCTCTGATTTTACTGACTCTTCTTGGGTTCCAATCCTCAGCTGGAAAGAGCCATCACTTATGAGAAACTGAATGAGTGGACCAGTGCGGACATGATGGACACCTTGGAAGTGCAGTTATACCTCCCCAAGTTCAAGCTAGAAGTGAGTTATGATCTCAAGCCAGCCCTGAGAAGTATGGGGATGACTGATGCTTTTAGCCAGGGCAAAGCTGATTTCTCAAATATGTCTTCAGAGAGAAACCTGTTTTTGTCCAATGTTTTCCACAAAACCTTTGTGGAAATAAATGAAGAAGGCACAGAGGCAGCAGCTGGCACTGGAAGTGAAGTCGATTTTCGAATTAAGACACCTTCCATTGAATTCAATGCAGATCATCCATTCCTTTTCTTCATCAGACACAACAAAACCAATATCATCCTCTTTTATGGAAGGTTCTGCTCCCCTTAAATTCTGCATCTCTCATTTAATGTGAGCATTTGATAGTATACAACAAACAAACCATCTGATACCATGAAATGGAAAAGCAGTCATCACAAAATTAGCCCATACTCTATGCATATTTCACTCTCTAATATTAATAAATGAACCTCAAAGGAATGCTTTCTGGTGATTATTTCATGTCTGTGTATGAAGAATAGCATTTAATTTGTTTTATTACACACACAACATTTGTCTTGGCATGACTTTTATTTATGTTGCAGAAATGCTGTTTAGAAACTCCAGGATCTCCTAAAATGGTTGGTGGAAATGACAGGCAGACTGGATTGGAGGGGTCTCAGTAAGACTGAGGCTGAGAGACAAGTTCATTGCAATAATCAGACTTTTGTAACCTTATTGTTAACATAATACAATGATGGTTGCCATGATCAATACAGTTGTCATTGTTAGGGTATAATGGTGATTGCAAGCTGTGCAAGGTACACAAGATTAATGTCTGAGACCAGTTGTCCAGACAACCTTCTATATGCTTTGCTGACTTCTAGGGAACTCAGACAAACACAGTTGGCCTGAGTGCTTCACTGTCTGAGGAAGTGCCCCTGTTTCTCAGTAACCACAAGGGACACACTGCCCCGAGAACCATGGAATCTATCCTGAAATACCTACAAATGTGTGCCTCTCTATGTAGCTAGACCAGGCCAACTCCATGATTACCTGCAGTTTTCACTTTTTAATTTCAAGGTATACAAGTCATTTTTCAAATCAGACATGGAGTAGCAAATCAATCTCAAGGCTGTAATGTTTCCAAATATAACCAATAGCAAAATTGCCACAGATACTCCTATGGTCCACAGTCAAGAAGTTCAGTCAGTGACAAAAAATAAAGACCAAAAATTGTTTCTAGGTTTTGCACAGAATTGGAGGAACATAATTCATTAAACTTTGAATATTGAATACTTTATATTTCAGCATGGGAGGCCTGAACACAAATTGTCTTTGTCTGGGGAACAATATGATCAGTTGTGCAGAGATGTTACTCTCTTCCCATCTAATAAAGTAAAGTGGGGGGGGATCACAAACATAAGCCCAAGATGTCATAGCAGTAACAGATGCATTTGACGGAGACAATATAGCAAGGAGCAGCAGCCATCTCTTTTCCTCTGCCGCTTGTTTCTTCATCTGAATTATTGTTGGGAGAGAGACTCTGTTCTTATTGGCTTGAGGATTCTGCATTACTCTGCTCTTCTTTTTTCTTCAGGTGAAGCCTCTGCAGACACTTGTAACCTATTTTTCCACTTTCCCCAGGTTGGGTCCCTGAGGAAATCTCAGCTCTGGTGAATTGCTCATCTGGGCCATTCCACTGGCCAGACATATGTTCTCCAAAGAACCATAACATATTATAAGGAACAGCCATACCACACTTACCCGCTCCTTTATTTTTAATAATGTTTAAATTGTACATTTGGTCTTTTCACAAACAAACAAACAAACAAAAAATTGACCATGAGGGTTATGTGGAATGTCTGCGGTATGGGTTAAAGCATAGTGTTGGCAAAATTTCTGGAAATGATTGGCAGTATAGACAGAAACATTGTCAATTTTCAGTAATTTTCAGAGGCCTAAAATTTCAAAAGCTCTGAGTAAAAAAGTGATACCATCTTTAACTGTTTCTCCTGCTTGGGGAACAGTACAATGAGAAGTGAATAGTTGTCCACAATGACACAAACATGTTTTAACTTCCCAAATCTGGGGACATGGGTAATGTCCATGTGCCGAATATGATTTGACAATAATCCTTGGGAGTTACAGCATATGGAGGAAGGAAGTATGATATTAATTATTATGCATGAAGGGAATTCCTTAACTATCAAGCAAGCCTGCTCTTTAGTTGTGAAAGCCAGTTTTTTTCTAATGCTGAAGTATTCTGATGAAAGCATATGTGAGATTCTTGTACTTCCTTTAGGTGTCAATTCCTAGGAAAAGAGACTCACCTGATATGTAAACTTTCTGTCCAGAAGATCCCACCTCCATTCTCTGCCCCAAAGAAGCACACACACAATATTAATTATGAATCTGTTGGCCCGTGACTAGGGTTTGTTATTGGCTAGCTCTGTCTTAATTATTAACCCATTTCTATTAATCTAAGTATTTCCACATGGACTTCTTTTATCGGAGAAAAGTCAGGGAACATGTTGCTCCTCTGGTGTCCTACATGCCCACTGCTCAGCATCTCCTCAGAGGAGAGAGATTTCCTGTTTGTCCCTGCTTATATCCTGATTCTGCTCAGCTATATCACTTCTCATTTCTTGCCTGTCTGTACAGACCTCCAGACCTCCATGGTTAGCTAGTGGCAGTTTCTGCCCAGCTATGTCACTTCCTGGGATCACATGATGACTCCTCTCTGCTACACTTCCCAGAATCCTCCTCATATCCTAGTCCCACTTATCTTGCTGCTCTATTGGCCAACAGTGTTTTATTCATCATTCAATAAGATAAACATACACAGAAGAACATTCCCCATCACCCACCTGCCCTTGAACACTCCCATAGCTTCCTTTCAGATCCAAAGACTCAAGCCACTGACACCCCTTTCCACCCTCCATTAATCTCCACCCAAATCCCTTGCTACCATGCCAGCTCCCTACACAGGTAGATATCTGCTCATGTGCAGGCCTCACCAGTTAGAAGAATAGGCAAAGGCCAATCAATGAAGAACAGAGACTTCATGCTAGAAAGAGGTCACACTGGCTTCCAGCAATATAGACCACAAAGTCTAGAAGACTGGAGAGGAAACATAAACCAGGAAAGAAGACACCTACCCAACAAAGAAAAAATTCAGAAATTGGCACTTAGTCCTGTATTCATTCCAAACTTAGATGCAAGGATGCTAGTTTAAGAACACAGTTGACAGCAGCCAGGCCAATGCAGCAGTATCAGAGCCCAGCTGTCCTACTACAATAACCTCTGAATGGTCCAACACAGCTGAAGCACAAGGAAACCAACTCTATGAAGATGGTTGATGTTCCTATAGAGGTAATGAAGAACTTCTTTAAAGAAATTAAGGGAAGCATGAACAAAAAATGTGAGGAAATGAATACCACATTTAAAGAAATCCAAGAAAATGCAAACAATTGGAGGAAATTAATAAATTCCTTAATGAAAGTCAAGAGAAAACAAACAAACAAACAGGTGAAGGAAATGAATAAAACCATTTAAGACCTGAAGATGGAAATGAATGCAATAAAGAAAACATAAACTGAGGGAATACTGGAGATGGGAAAATCTAGGAAAGCAAACAGGAACTACATACACAAGGATCACCAACAGAATACAAAAGATGGAAGAGAGAATCTCAGGCATTGAAGGAATGATAGAAGAAATTGAAATACCAGTCAAAGAAAATGTTAAATCTAAAAATATCCTGCCACAAGACATCCAGGAAATATGGGACACTATGAAAATCCAAACCCCAAAATAATAGGAAGAGAAGAAGAATATAAAAGGCCCAGAAAAATATTTTTTAACAAATAATTGAAGAAAATTTTCCTAATCTTAAGAAGGACATATACATACATACATACATATATACATATATATATATACATACATATGTATATATATATATATATGAAGCTTACAGAACACAAAATAATTTGGACCAGAAAAGAAAGTTCCCCCACGACATAATAATCAAAACACCAAACATGCAGAACAAAGAAAGAATATTAAAAGCTGAAAAGAAAAACATATAAATGCAGACTTATTAGAATTATACCTGACTTGTCAATAGAAACTCAAAAGGCCAGAATGGACAGATGTCTTGAAAATTCCAAGAGATCATGGATGCCAGCCCATACTACAGTATCCAGCAAAACTTTCAATCTCCATAGATGGAGAAATCAAGACAGTTCATGACCAAGTCCATGACCATAAATAGCCCTATAAAAGATACTGGAAAAAAAAAACTTTACTCTAAGATGGTTAACTACACTCATGAAAATACAGGAAATAAATGATCTCATACCATCAAAACCAAAGGAAGGGAAACACACACAGTCACACATATATACACCCCACACACAACTACCACACCGTCAAAATAATAGGAATTAACAATTGTTAATTATCAATAATTTCCAAGATTAATGGACTCAATTCCCTAATAAAATATACAGACTAACAAATGGATGCAAAAACAGGATCCATCCTTCAGTTGTATACAAGAAACACACCTCAACACCAAAGATAGACATTACTTCAGAATAAAGGGCTGAAAAAAGATTTTCCAAGAAAATGGATCTGAAAAGCAAGCTGGCATAGCTATTCTAATTTTTAACAAAATAGACTTCCAACCAAAATTATTCAGAAGAGATAGGGAAGAACACTTCATATTCATGAAAGGAAAAATCTACCAAGATGACATCTCAATCCTTCCCAACTGTGCACCAAAATGCACCCATGTCTATAAAAGAAACATCACTAAAGCTTAAATCACACATTGGACCTCACACATTAATATTGGAGTACAATACTGTACTACCAACAATGGACAGGGTATGCAGACAAATTTAAACAGATAAATAACATAATTAACAGACATTATGAGCCAAATAACAGATATGAACAGAACATTTCACTCAAAACCAAATAAATAAATGAATAAATAAATACATAAATACATAAATACCTTCTTGGTATGTAATGGAACATTTTCCAAAACTGACCACATACTTGGTCACAAAGCAAGTCTTAACAGATACAAGAAAATTAACCCCCTGTATCCTACTATATCATCACAGATTAAAGCTGGATTTCAACAACAACAGAAGCAACAGAAAACCTATAAAATGACAGAAAATGGAAAAACTCTCTACTGATTGACTACTGGGTCAAGGAAGAAATAAAAATAAAATTTAAAGACTTCCTAGAATTTAATGAAAATAAATGCACAGCATACCCTAACTTATGGGACACAAGGAGAGTAGTGCTAGGAGAAAAGTTCATAGCACTAAGTGCCCACATAAAGAAATTGGAGAGCTTACATTCCAGCAGTTTTATAGCACATTTGTATGTTACAAGAACTTTCCCTGACAGCCTCATCCCAGAGCCACATCAGTTCCAAATAACACACGGAGACACTGTATTAGATATAAAGCTGT